GGGCAGGGGGTGCTGCCGCTGCCTGTATTCCCCCCCTTCTTTCTAAGCCTAGTTTTGTAGGGCTAGCTGTTGCGTTGGGCGAGGAGAGCCTGCTGTACAGTGGCTCCTGCTGTCACCCCCTCAGCCTGGGGGTGCCCCTCAGCCGGTGCCTGCGGCCTCGCTTTTCCCACAGGATGTTCTACCGAATTGTTCACATGGTTTGAAATAATAAAATGTAGAAAGAAAAAAAAAAAGAGAGAAAATATATATAGTGATGCCTCCCTACCTGTGACCAGGGGTAGGGGTGGGTGCTAGGGGAGCTCATGAGGTGGAAGAGGGACATGGGGTGGGCTGGCATCACCCCAGGGCTCAGCAGCATCCTCTCGGTGTGGGAGGTGAGGGCAACAGTGGGAACCTTGGGAGAGAGCTGGGACATTGCATGGGGTCTGAGGTGATGGGAGGCCATGACCACTCCCCAGCCCTGCAGCAGGGGGATGGTGGCATTCAGGGGTCTCCAGTACTGTACCTTAGGGGCACCCTGTGACCTCAAGGGGGATCTAGCACCTGTTGCACACAGCATTCCATAGGGACACCCAGGTCCACAGGGCACCCGTGGACACTGAGCAGCCCCCAGATCCAAGGGGTTCCTGGAGACCCCCTGTTTCAGGGACACCCAGGGACCCCAGCACGCTGCAGCACCCAAAGGATCCCCCCCAGTACCTCCCAGCTCCAAAGGGTACCCAGGAACCCCTAGCACCCAAGGGAGCTCTGAGTTCCCTTTAGTTCCAAGGGCTACCAGGGACTCCCAGAACCCCTCAGATCCAAGGGGTTCCTGGAGCCCCTCCAGCACTGCCCAGCTCCAAAGAGAACCCAGGGACCCCACAGGACCCCTAGCACCCCTTGACTCCAAGGGGTACCCAGGGACCCCCAGCACCCAAGGGACCCCCAGTACTCCCCAGCTCCATGGGATAGATACCTAGGGACCTTCAGCACCCCCCAGCTCCATGGGGTACCCAGGGCCCCACAGCACCCAGTATCACTGGGTGCCCTTCATCGCTGGCTGGCAGGAGGGCTGGCAAGGAGGGGGAGGGGGGCTGTGCCCCCCACCCAGGGGTGGCTCTGGGGCTGAGCAGGTCAAATCTCAGGGGTTTGGGGCAAGTGGAGGTGGGTGGGGGCAGCAGTGGGGCTGGGCCCCAGGGGAATGGGGAGGCCTGGGCTGGGGAGGGGACACTGGACCTGGGGCTCAGAAGAGCCCGCAGTCCTTGAGGTTCTCCTTGATGATGATGTCGGTGACAGCATCAAAGACAAACTTGACATTCTCGGTATCGGTGGCGCAGGTCATGTGGGAGTAGATCTCCTTCACATCCCGCCGCATGTTCAGCTCCAGGAACTGCACCTTGATGTAGTTGCCCGCGTCCTCGTAGGTGTTGGGACCTGATGGTGTGGCAGTGAGTGGGTCCCCTCCCCATGGAGCGTCACCCAGCACTCCCCCCAGGTGAGTAAACTCTGCTTGGTCCATGAGCAAGGGTAGTGCAGCATCGTTGCATGGGGTGCTGAGGACACCTGGTGGGTGTCTGCTGCAGGCTGCTGGCACCCAACCCTTCACCAACCACCCACTTTCACGTGGTGTGACAGACGCTGCCACACTCACCATCATAGTCGGGGAAGCAGATGCTGAGGTGGGCCTTCTTGATCTTCTCCAGGAAGACGTCCTTCTTGTTGAGGAAGAGGACAATGGAGGTGGTGGCGAAGTAGCGGTGGTTGCAGATACTATTGAAGAGGTGCAGGCTCTCATGCATGCGGTTCTGCAGAGGGACACAGCCCCATATTGACTCCCATGTCGTGATAGGGACAAAGAGGAGAGGGGTGTGGGATGGTGAGTCTTCCTCACCACTTCATCATCCTCCACCAGGACCATGTCGTAGGCGCTGAGGGCCGCAATGAAGATGATGCAGGTCACCCCCTCGAAGCAGTGGATCCACTTCTTACGCTCTGAGCGCTGGCCCCCCACATCAAACATCCTGGGCAGGACGAGAATGGGGTCAGCACCCCTCACCCCCTGACAGCCCCTAACACCAGCCCTCACCTGGGGCTTGGCCCCCACCTGAAATTGAGGTCTTTGAAGGAGAACTGGGTCTCGATGATGCCAGTGGTCTTGACACGGGAGCGCAGCACATCCTGCTCCGTGGGGACGTAGCCAGGGGTCACCAGGCGCTCCAGGTCTGACAGGTAGCTGGCCGGGCACACAGTGGGCATGAGACATGGGTCAGCACCCCCAGACCCCTCCCCAGACCCCTTCACCCCACGTACTAGCCGGCCGAGTCATTGAGCTGGTACTCAGATGCACGTTCAAAGCAGGCTTGGATGCCTGTGTCCTTCCAGAGCCGCCCAATGATGTCTGACAGCTCCTTGGGCATGGTGCCCTCCTCTATGGTGTCCGAGAGGTGCAGCAGTTTGCGGGCATCATCCTCCCAGAGACAGGGGCTCAGTGGGGCTGGGGGACTAGGGGGACTCCCCTGCCCAGCCTGGGGTGCTCCTCACCTGACGGGCTGTGTCCCCGTACTGGATGTTGAGGGTAGACATGGCCCGCACGATGGCCAGCATGGACTGCAGCGTGTTGCTGTAGATGATGGCAATGAACTCCAGGCATTCCTCCAGTGAGTAACCATCCTGGTGGATAATCCTGGACAGGGAGGGAGGCATGGGGCTGAGCTGGGCACCCATGGTTGCAGCATGGGGCTGGTGACGTGGGTCTGAGACAGGCACTAAGGGGTGGGTGCACCACATAGCTGTGGCATGGGGCAGAGCTGGGCATGGTGGGCACCAAGTGTCACCCCTTGGCACTTACTTCATCTGCTTGACGATGGTGCTCTTCCCTGACTCACCTGCACCTGAGGGGACAAAACACAGGTCACGGCAGTCCTGGTGGCACAGACACCCCTGTGCTGGGGCTCCTGGTGCCGAGCAGGGCTGGGGACACTGGTGGCAGTGCCAGGCTCATGGCTCAGGCAGGGGGATTACAGCCTGGTGCCAGTGGGCATTAGGATTGGGCTGAGCTATTGTGGTTAGTGGGATCTGCAGTGGCTCAGCCAGGATGTGCTCGGGGACCCAAGGGAGGGTATGGAGACACGGTGGCAGCGCAACCCCACCACCCACCACCCCATGCCCCAAGTCTGTGGCAGCGCAGGGGGATGAGCCCTGGGCTGGGAGATCAGTGATGGCACCGATGGCCCCACCATGTTTAGGGTACCCCAGTCCTCAGGCACCACTAGGGCAACTGGGAAGAACTGGGAGGGACCTGAACTACTCGAGGGCTGCAGGAACAAACACAGAGTGATGGGTGGTGTGGGCTGTATGAGGGTGCCTAAGAGGAGCGGGGGAGATGGTGGATTGGTGTTGGTGCTGAGTGGGGTGGTGTTGGTGAAGGCTCTTGAGATGGGTTGGTTGGGGGTTGAGGGACCTGGGAGTGGGGAAATACTGGGTGGGCTGGTTGGGTTTGGGGGATGCCTAGAAGAGGGAGCATCTTAGGTTGGGCTGATGAGATGGGTTCTTGTGTTTGGGGTGCCTCGTGGGGAGGGGGGAAGATGTGTGTGCACTGTTGAGCGAGCTGCTGAGATGAACTGGTTATGGGGAGCCTGGGAATGGGGGGCTGTTGGGGTGGGCTGGTTGGGTTTACAGGTGCCGGGGGGTGGTGGTGAGGAAACGTTAAGGGACTGCTAGGGTGAATTGGTTGGGTTTAGGGGTGGTGGGGGTGTCAAGAAAACATTAGGAGACTATTAGGGTGGGCTGGATGGGTTTAGGAGTGCTGGAGCCTCAGGGAAACACTGGGTGGGCTGTTGAGGTGGGTCTGGGCTGTCTGGGTGGTGGGGGTGCTGTTGGGGTGTGCTGGTTAGATTTAGGGGTGCTGGGGGGAGTCAGGGAAATATTAGATAGGCTGTTGGGTTTAGGGGTGCTGTTGGGATGGGCTAGTTGGGTTTAGGCGTGTCAGAATGTGTCAAAGGACCATTGGGTGGGCTGCGAGGGTAAGGTGCACAAAGGATGGGTATCTCCCCCAGGGTGCCGTCCCCCTCCATACCCAGCAACAGCAGCTTGACGGTCCTGGCGTCCTTCTCAGCATCCTCCTTGAGCTTCTTCTC